TTTTTTTTTTTTTTTTTTTTTGCATATAAAGTTGGAGTGTAATTAAATGGGTTTAAATTTGAATTGGAGGACCCATTTGAATTTTTTTTTGAGTTCAAAATTCTTGTTTATGTTTTTTTGTTGGTCTGTGTGATGTAATCAAGTTCCTTCTTGATTGTGTTTTTTTTTCTTATCAATTTGAATTGGGTTTAAATTTCTCTCTTCAAATTGGAGGGGGTCAATTAGGGTTTTGAAGAATTTGTAATTAATTTGCGAACTATGAAATTAATTCAATGTGGTAGGGGTTGAAAATTGACATCTTTGCATGTAATATCCTGAAATTGGAGTGTAAAGTTTTCATTTATATATATATATTTTTTTGTTTGTTGAGCAAGAATTCCAGTATTTCTTGTGTCTTTTTCAAGACTAAGGTGCCCCAGTTTCTTCTTCTCTAATTAAGTAGATTACATTGCTAATAACTATGAAGATGTGTTAATTGATAGGATTTAAGCAATGTTTACAAGACTAAAAATTACATATGCTTGTGGTTTTGACTCAAGTTTTGATTAGGCTAAAACTGAAAATACTTTGGTGGCTCACTTGTGTTGTTCACTTATCTCCATGCATGTTGTTGTATCGTTATATAATGTTACAATCTTTGCAAGAGATATGATGCAAAAATTGTATTAATCTTTTCCTCTTGTTGATTAATTCCTTTTTTTTTTATAGCTAATATTGAATTAATTGATCATTATCCACAATGTAAAGACTTGGAGGATAATGGCGAAGAGCTTCAAGAACAACTTATTGGGTTTTCTTCTCCTCCACCAAATTCTGAGGTTCAATCTTTTGAATATGCAGTAGAACATTTAGAAATTAGACTAGCAGTTGGCATGAAAGTGAATAACATTGAAGATGCAAATTCGCTCTACTGTCAATATGCACATGCTAAAGGTTTTAGTGTTCGAAAAGTTGATCAAGGGTACTTTTCGGGCACTAAAGAACTACGAATGAAAGCATTTGAATGTTCTTGTCAAGGAGTTAGGGATGAAAGACGTTCTAGGAACAATATTCCTGAGTATCAAAATCAATAACTAGAACAAACTGCAAAGCAAGAATTAGAATTACGAGGGAGAGGGAAGGGGACTGGAAAGTGAGTAGGTTTTATATTGAGCACAATCGTGAGATGATTCAACTTGATCAAACTCATTTGTTGAGATCATCTCGTAATATCATGCATGCCAAAAAATCTACTCTATAAGCTATGGTGAATGCAAGAATTAGTGTTACAAATGCCGTTTCTTTTATGGAAAATGAGGCTCATGGTGCAAATAATTTGGGTTTTACCGTAAAGGATGCATATGATCATTTCAGTCGTCTAAAGAGGCAAACTAAAGTTGAAGATGGAGATGCTGCTAGTTTGCTTCAATATTTTATAAACAAAGCAAATGTGGAAATCAATTTGTTTGGAATGTCCAGTTGGATGATAATCGGATCATGAACTTTTTCTTTAGGGATCATAGATGTGCAGTTGATTATGAGTTTTTTGGTGATGTGCTATCTATTGATACGACTTATAAAACAAATAAGTACAATTTCATTTGTGCTCATTTGTCGGTATAAATCACCATAAGAAAAACTTGATGTCTAGCCTGGCTTTTTTGTCCGATGAAACTGAAAGTTCATTTGAGTGGTTATTTTTCACATTTCTCAATTCTATGAATGGGAAACAGCCCCAAGTTGTCTTTTCTGATCAATGTCAAGTTATGATGAATGCTATTGATAAAGTGTTCACACATTCGCATCATCGTTTATGTCAATGGCATATCAATCAAAATGCTCCATCCCATTTAGGAAGTTTGAATGGTGATTCGGAGTTTAAGAAATTATGGCATAAATGCATGACATATTGTGATTCTGCAGATGAGTTTGAGGCTACATGGAAGCGAATGATTGAGCAGTACAGTCTTGATGATCACAGATGGCTAAAGGGTATGTACAAACTGAGAAAGAGATGGGCCACGACTTTTAGTAATGACAAATTTTGTGCAGGTCTACTAGCCACTTCAAGAAGTGAGGTAACAAATCATGTCTTGAAAGATTTGGGTAATAAGACTCTTACTTTGCACCAATTTGTTTTAAACTATGAAAAAGTCCAAAAGAAATGGAGGGCTACTGAGAAAGATGACGATGCTCATTGTAGCCATGGGAGGCCGGGCCAAATTGTTAAAAATAATCCCTTGTTGTCGCACACCGCTGAAGTATATACTTTCTCAATATATAAGTTATTCGAGCGAGAATTTATTGAGTCTTTGAATATTGCAATTATTGCTCAGAATGATATTGGTAATGGTTGGCTTGGATTCAGTTTGCGGTCTCATAGCGACAACTCAAAAGTTAGGCAAGTGTTTTTTCGGCAAAATGATATTGAAGTGAATTGCTCCTGTCATTTGTTCGAAACAATGGGAATACTATGTAGACATGCACTAAAGGTTTTCATTTTTATGAATATCATTGTGTTGCTTGAGCCATATATCATGAGTCGTAGGTCAAGAAAAGCGGAACAAAGGTTTTGTAATGAATTTGAAAGATGATATACTCCTCATGGAAATGGTGGTGTTTCTGAGTTGACGTTTGTGAACCATGCAATGAGGACCTCTTATGACTTGGTTCATTTAAGCAAATCTCACCGGGAGACGAGAAGTAGGTTTACTGAAATCCTTGAAGAAGCAACTGAAGAAGTATCTTCTTGGTAACGCAAAACACTCCGACCGGCTTGAAATCGGCTCGTCTTCCTCCTTCTTGCCGGTAGAACGCCGCGCACCTGCACAGAACTCTCACACCGGAGGGGTTTTCCGATGAAGAGCCTCCGATGCTTAAGTCAGTCTATATTGTACTCAATTCTCCAAAGTATGTAATGGATAAATCGTAAGTCACTAAAAAAGACTCACTCCTATATATATAGGAGTGAGATACCTGCCCTAGGAGCTGCCCGGATATGGTGAACTGTCCTGCCCGTACTGTCCGTCCGTACACACACAGTATGTGTGTGTCAGAGGCGTCAGAGGTGGTTATCACCACTATTGCTCTACGCCAATGTACTATCGCCACTTGTCCCTCTGAGCAGAGGGAGATTATTCTCTGCGCATCCCGTTAGGATCTTCTAACGCCACCCACGCACTTTCTCGCATTCAAGCCACGCTCTCGACTGCTCTTCACCTGTTGAGTGCTCGATCTGACCGAGTCCCCCGTCGCTAGGTCGATCCTCGATCAGTTCTGCTATTCTGCTCGATCTTTTCCCTTTTGGTCGATTATCCCTCGACCAATACAGTTTTCTCTACTTCGAGCTTGCCTGACCAATGTGGTAAACCGGTCTATTCTTTAGCTATATAATATCCCATATCATCTAGTCCCCCCCACTCTGGTCGAGTCTAAATGACTCGATCTAAAAGTGAATTCGAGCTGTCTTCTCCGTTCTGCCAACCTCTCGATCTCCTGCTTACATTTGATCTCCTCTCTCGATCGTTTCGGTTGATGCCACCACCATTCTTCGACCACGCGATCGATTTTATGGTGCACTTTAATTGTCCTTTATTTCCTTTTATTATTAGCGTAATTTCCGCCTGCCATATGTCCTTCCCGCTCAGTACCTTTAATCATCATGCCTCCTCGTAATTTGTGCCGCTTCGCTATTTGTTCCTCTTTAATTTCTTCCCACCATTGGATCTCCTTTTATCTAACGGCTATCACCATTAACTCTTCACCTTATTCCTCTGCCCTCTTATAAATACGATACTTAGTAAATTTTCTGACTTTTCTCACTTTTGCAAATCTCGAACTCCCTTGTGCCCATGGACTGGAATGCGGCGTTTGTGGTGGACGATGGTGGTGGTGGGAGTATATTTGGGGTGGAGATGTTTAAGATTTTCGGGCAGGTGTTGGATTTCGTGACGGTGTTTGAGACGGGGAAGGGATGGGGACACATCTCGAGGAACCGGGTGGCCAACGGGCTGGATGCGTTGTCCTGCATGACGAAATCGATGGCTGTAGTGCGGCTGTAGATAACGGTGGATGTTGACTTTCATTTTATTTTATTTTTTTTCAATTTTTTTTTTCGGGAGCTGTTGAAGATGATGTTATTGACATTGGTTGTTTTGAATTTTGATTCTTTTGTGGTGATTAAACATGAATTGGTGGACTGGGTTGATTGACCGACTGTTTGTGGTTTAGGTGATTAACTTGAGATTGATATTTACTGTGAATTATCATCAAATGCAGGAAATAATGGGACGATATGCAATGTTTACTCTGTATGAATGTCTGTTTTGGGTTAGTGTCAGATTGTTGAGTGTCGCTGAAAATTGGACCTCAGGAATTCTAAAATTCATCGCCTAAATCAATAAAGTGATAAACCGTTGATGTAACATAAACGATTGAAGCAGGTTCAAAAATTTATTGTCTGGGCTACTGGTGTGGTAATAAAGAATGCATAGAATTTCCTCTTTAACTAATTTTACACCTAATTTTAAGCTTTAATATCTCTTTTATCTCGAAATAGTATTTCTTTAGAAGACATATTTTATAGATAAAAATACATAAATATAACTAGACAACAGATAGAATTAGCCAAACAGCGATAGCTGACACTAGAGAGACTATCGGGGGTTTGGAGACTACTCTAACTCACCCACTAAACAAATATTTAAATACAGAAAGCTTATAAACTAACCAAATAAGCTATAAGCTAGCTTATTGGTCTAATAAAGTTTTTAACCACAAACGAATACAATTAAAATCAACGAAGTATTAAAAAAATAAGAGGGGAAGAAGTTTAACGGGAGCCGAGGGGTGTAAGTTGGAATTACCCACAATTTACACCTACGATCCAACGTTTATTACTCAAAAATCAGACGTTTGAACACTGCTCGAAGGATTCAAGATTGCATTCTTTTTCTACAAAAAAATATGCACAGCTCGAATAATACGATTGAATCAACCAATGAATTGTTGGAAAGTGAATAGCATATATTGAATTTCTTGGACTCCATGGATAGTTATCTTACCCTAATGGATTCTCTATCTTCATCCCTTCGCCAGGTAAAAAACAGAATTTGATTTTCTTGATCTATTTTTCTGTTTTGTTTTTGTCACATGGATAGTGATTTTCAGTCTTTTTCTGCATAGAAATTAAAATTTTGATTAATTGGGTTGCCCAATTGTTCCTTGAATCTTCTTGTCGGAACACAGTTGATTGAGAATTTGAGAGAAATGAGTTGGGATCTTGGAGGTTGCAATTTCAAGAAATGCTTAATTTTGAAGTATACTAGAGATTTATTAACAGAGCAAAAATAATTATATGCAGCTATGATTTGTGAAGTTTTACTTGTGTGTATTGGTTTGAAATAATGCTTATTTTGTGCAGTTAACTCTCGTTGAATAATTGATGAAATATTACAAAATGGTTTGTCTCTTCAGTATATTAGGCATCTTATGAGAAAATTTGGGACTTCAGCTCGTGTTCTATGATGAGCAAGTGAAGTGATTGAGCCTTTGAATTGCACTTGTTTTTAATTCTTTGTTGATCCATGTGTGAGCTAGATACATCATATCCTAAATTTTGCGTTTTTGTAGTGATGGCTGGATTTAGCCAGCGCCCGACGGTCAATGGGTGCTTTACGTGTGAGCAGCGTCTTGTTTGACCTCAAATCTCACCATGCTTCAACGACATTGCAAGTACACAACGGTACTTCAATTGTCTTTAACCTTTTTTAATCTTTGTAAATGAAGTGAGGTGAAACTTTGAGGTCCGCTGGAGGGCCATTCAATCTCAGAAACTTCCATACATACAATTAATATGCGACTCAATTTCGTTTAACTTACGGGGAGGATACATATTACAGATTCGACAAATGCAAAAAAGAAAGGTCACTTCTTAATAAATATGATTTTTTACGGAAGCTTTCTCTTCCAAGGCCTTCGCTGAAGGATTTCTCGTTCGCCACTTATGAAGAGCTAATACAAATACTAAAATTGCACGAGCTTCATGCCTTCATAAATGAACTGAGATCTATCATTCCAGGTGATCGTGATATGAAGTCGCCACATTTCACGCTGAGCAAATGGGCATCCTCCGATGATCCTGAGAAGCATTCTGAAGAAGCCAAATTTGAGGAGGACGAGTTGTTGCAAAACAAATATAATGAGAGCCCACGAGAACAGAATCATGATACACCTCAAAGCCCCAGTATGCCTTTGTTTTTCCACATAATTTCTAAATTGTTGCTTTTAAAGGTTCTTTTTTGGGAATCTAAATCAGCAGTTTGCTATGACTTATGCATAATTTGGTCAACCATGTCAATGGCCTCATGAATAGTTTTGTCGCTGGTTTCTTGTATATGTTTGCTTGTAAAATTGAGTCACGGCTTAGTTCTTGCACCATGTAGAGTTTTCGGCCTTAATCATGATGGACTTTTTATCTTCGAGCACATGTCCACCCTCAAAGGGGTGGTCATTACATGCGACCATCCAGCCTCTCGCCCTTAATCATGATGGATTTTTTTGTCTTCGAGCACATGTCCACCCTCATTGGGGTGGTCGTTACATGCGACCATCCAGCCTCTCGGCCTTAATCATGATGGATTTTTTCTTCGACCAGCCAGTGATTATACGACACTGCATATGCACAATAAAATAAAGCAACAATTAGGCAAGGTATTGAAGATTGCAACTGAAATTTCATGAATCTTAAACTGGGAATTCGATTACATCATTTTTGTGAAAAATTTCTAATAAAAGGTAAAGAAAAAATTCAAACATAATATTTCTTCAAGTTAGCCACGTTCCATAACCTGGGGATTGGTCTTCCTTCGGCGTCCTTGAGTGAATATGCTCCTCCCGCATGAACCTTCTCGACCAGGTATGGTCCTTTCCAGTTCGGATCGGGTTTGCCCACATGCTTCAGCATGTCCACCCTCTTCCAGACCAGGTCACCCACCTGGAGTCTTCTGATTTTCACCTTCCTGTCATGTGCTGCTCGCATCCTCTGTTTGTACGCCTCAACTTTGATCGAGGCACGTTCTCGAAATTCTTCAATTGTGTCGAGGGCCGCCATCATCAAGTTCTCGTTTTGCTATGGATCATATGTGCTCGATCTCTATGACTGGACCTCGATCTCGACTGGGAGTAATGCCTCCATGCCATAAACCAGACTGAATGGTGTTTCTCCCGTGGTCGACCTTGGCGTTGTGCGATACGCCCAAAGTACTGAGGTGAGCTCATCGACCCATGCGCCCGACGCCTTCTCCAGTCTCGTTTTCAGGCCATTCAGTATGATTCTGTTGGTCACCTCTGTTGGAGTATACTGTAAAGCAAACTTTTACGAGAGCTTTTGGATTGTATTATTCGATTTCCCATTTGACTGAAATGAATGTTTTTCACATTGTTGCATTCTTTATGATTGCTTGTATGCTAAATGTCCAATTATCTTATATTGTAGACAATGTGGTGTGTTAGTAGTCACACAGAAGATTGCATTGTCGGTTCCTTATAAGATATAAATGGTATTCACAACTGAGATAGTTATGGACATGACTATCAGTGTAGGTTGTAGTATAAACTGGATGTAGCTTGTCTTGGCTATTGGTTTATACTAGTGCGCTGCGTCGCATTGAAAGGATCACAGTTGAGACGTGTTCTTCTGTTCTGACTATCATGAAGAACCTAGGTCTCGGTGACTCTACTAATTCTTAACCCTAACTGTGGTAATTAGATATATGGGATATTTGTTTGTTACTTTGACTTACCATGGGTGAGGACCAAGTATTGGTTCAATAGCTCCGTATCTTGGGTAACAACACTATCTGCATGATATCTATTTATTGGCATTAGGGCACCGTGTCCTGGACATCCAGGTTGGTGACGTCCCCTTAAGGAACTCATAAGGATTATCGTATAAACCCTGCAGGTGGATTTAATCCGTACGATAATAAGGTTGAGTGGTACTACTTAAGGATTAAAAGATATTAATTAATTAAAGCAGTCAGAAGCTTTAATAATTAATGGACGTGCGATATCTTAAACACGGGGAATTATATCGAGTCTAATAGAAGCCCTGATTCATTTCGGGATAGGACGGGAGTACAATATTAATTCTCTAGTGGAATGAATTAATATTTACGGGCTAAATTGTGTTTTGGGTTGAACATAAGAATTTGGGCCTGTAGGGAGCCCAAACCCTATACCTTCTAAGAGATCCCTAGGCTGGCCCAAGGACCTCTATAAAAGGAGGGATTGCACGTCTTCAACCCTAACACACATCACAAAACGTGAGCAGCCACCATAGTGGAGAAGTGACGTGAAGGGTTCAGATAAGACGAGATACAATCCGCTCTTTTCAACCGTTTGGTAGATCGTCGTCCATCCGGCGTCCAAACGTGGTCGGGACACAGACTAGAAGATCGCTCAGATCGAATCAAAGCCTCGTAGAAAGGTAAACTTTCTGTCCGTCCTTTAGGAGCATGCTTAGGGTTTAATCGAGATCATGTATGTACATGTTTGGCATCCGATATCGATCCTTGGAAAGGACCGCCTCGTCGGCGTGTTCCAGCAACCTCGACTTGTCCATTGGCTTGCGGATGAACAACCGATTCAAAATGTTGCTCGATCTTCATGTCGTCACACCATGCTCGAATCCGCTTGCCATTGAATTGTGTCCCGTTGTCGGAGACCAACACCTTTGGGCTCGGATTATTGCTCGGCCAGGCCCGAGAGACGGTTCCAGCAGGCCCGGTTAGGGGCTTCGGACGTCTACGGGGATCCACACAGGCTGTCGGTTCGGCGCCAGTCGAGCGAGAGCTCCTGCGCAGTCTCGGGCTTGAAATCGGCTTCGTGATGATTGCGGTCGGGGGACTCGGGCCGTGGGACGAGCCGCTGGATTCTTGCAAAATTTACGACCCGGTTTTGAACAGGTGGACAGAGATCCAGGGGCTGCCGCTCGATTTCGGGGTGGCGTGCGCAGGGGCCGCGTGCCGTGAGGTTTTTTACGTGTATTCGGAGAGCGATATGCTGGCGGGGTATGATGTGGAGAAGGGGTATTGGGTGAGGGTGCAGGTGAGCCCGGGCCCGGCCCCGGCCCGTGTTAGGGAGTACTACCCGAAGATAGTGGGGTGTGGGGGGCGGGTTTTCATGGTGTCAGTGTCGTGGTGCGAGGGGGAAGGGGAGATCGGGAGGCAGAATAAGGCGGTGATGAAGGTGTGGGAGGTTGATTTTGAGGGAGGGGGAGGGTGGAGGGAGATGGGGGCCCACCCGGATGCGCCCATGGACTGGAATGCGGCGTTTGTGGGGGACGATGGTGGTGGTGGGAGTATATTTGGGGTGGAGATGTTTAAGATTTTCGGGCAGGTGTTGGATTTCGTGACGGTGTTTGAGACGGGGAAGGGATGGGGACACATCTCAAGGAACCGGGTGGCCAACGGGCTGGATGCGTCGTCCTGCATTAAGAAATCGATGGTTGTAGTGCGGCTGTAGATAACGGTGGATGTTGACTTTCATTTTATTTTATTTTTTTTCAAATTTTTTTTCGGGAGTAGTTGAAGATGATGTTATTGACATTGGTTGTTTTGAATTTTGATTCTTTTGTGGTGATTAAACATGAATTGGTGGACTAGGTTGATTGACCGACTGTTTGTGGTTTAGGTGATTAACTTGAGATTGATATTTACTGTGAATATCATCAAATGCAGGGAAATAATGGGACGATATGCAATGTTTACTCTGTATGAATGTCTGTTTTGGGTTAGTGTCAGATTGTTGAGTGTTGCTGAAAATTGGACCTCAGGAATTCTGGAACTCAACGCCTAAATCAATAAAGTGATAAACCCTTGATGTAACATAAACGATTGATGCAGGTTCAAAAATTTATTGTCCGGGCTACTAGTGTGGTAATAAGGCATGCATAAAATTTCCTCTTTAATTAATTTTACACCTAATTTTAAGCTTTAATATCTCTTTTATCTCGACATAGTATTTTTTTAGAAGACAGATTTTATAGATAAAAACACATAAATATAACTAGACAACAGATAGAATCATCCAAACAGCCATAGCTGACACTAGAGAGACTACCGGGGGTCTGGAGACTACTCAAACTCACCCACTAAACAAATATTTAAATACAGAAAGCTTATAAGCTAACCAAATACGCTATAAGCTAGCTTATTGGTCTAATAAAGTTTTTAAACAAACGAATACTGTTGTTGTTTTGAGTTAACAACTTAACATTAAACACAGCAGGTGTAAAGAAAACTAGGATAATTGTTCAATTTGATTTTTATTTGTTATAATCACAAGAGTACAGAAGTCGGTTATTTGCTGAAAACCGAGATTATCTTGAGTTCGTGTACAATGTGTTCAAAAAAGGATCCTCGTACTATCATAAATTCAGCTATTTATAGTACGGTGGCTTTTGTCTTCTTCCTTGAAATGGATAAAGATGCATTTAATGTTGAGCTGCTTTACTTGAAGCGGCGGGAAACACCAATGATTGCCTTTTTGTTTTGTTGGTCCAATCAGATGCTTCTAATGATTACTTTCTGTTGGAATATTCAAACTTCGTGATAGTCGGTTTACTTGCGTTGGCTTTAGATGTCGGTTCTTGTGAAGACGGTTCTTTTCGAAGACCTTTTGAAAGTCGGATCTTTGAAAGTCGGTAATTCTTCAGAAGTCGATAATTTGTTTCAATACATACCGACTTGTAGTAAGTTTACTTTCTTGCGAAATTATTTCTTCAATAATATGATTAATCTCCATCTTCAATCTCTGTTACTGGATTTGATATCAACAGTGAGGCCCCCGACATCAGTAAGTATTTGAAGCTTTTTGAATAGTTACTGATGTTGTCTGTTGTTCCACTTTATTCCGACTTGTTTTGCATTGTTTACCGACATGAGAACACTTTGCTTTATTTGACATTCTTTGTATGGCATTTGATCTGACATGGCGGTTCTCAAAAGACGTGTCCGCATTAAATGGGTCCAACGGATATAAATTTATAACGACATGGCGTTTCAGGATGTGGCCACGTAGGTTAATAATTACTGTAACGTTATGTCCTTTGAAGACATGTCCATTACACGCGCCATTTCCGGATACTTCTAACGGTCATAAATCAAAAACTATAAATTAAAGTCGGTTTCGATGCGTGAAAAACTTCTGTACCTTAAATTTCTTTGGTATTTGTTGCGTTCTTTCAGTAATCTTCCCTTTGCATATTTTCTTTGCGCTCTTGCTTTTTCTGTGATCTTTTCGTCAACCCAGGGTTCTCAAAAGTCTCGGTAAGAATTTGCCCTAATTTTTCCCATTTTCTTGTTCCGTTTTGAATTCTTCCTTTAATTTTATCGATTTCGGAAAATGTCGACACGAACTGAGGATAGTAGTAGTAGGACAATTTCTGACATTCCAATTTTCACCGATGAGGATTTGGAATTGCCTCTCGAGTTTTATCGGTGGGATCCTCTTTTGGTAAAGCGTCTAAATCTTAATAAGGACATTATCGACGAGGATAAGCGTGTTGAAGAGGACGCTATGTCGCTTCCGGATTATTGGAGGCGTCCTGCTCGTCGGTGGCCTGAACCAATTGATGAGTACAGAGGAGAGCCGAGTATTCTTACAGACGCTGACATCGTTATACTTCGAGAGGAGGTCTATATTCCTTCATCGGTCAAGTTATTTGCACCTTACCCGGGTGAAAGGATCACTTGTCCGCCACCGGGTTGTGTAGGTGTATTTGCCGACTCGTTAAGGTCGGGACTTCGTTTTCCCCTGTCTGCGTTAATCACAGACTATTTAAGGAGCTGGGGAATAGGCCTTTGCCAGATAGCACCGAATTCATGGAAGAGGATTATCGGTCTTATGGTGCTATTGAAGGAAAAGGGTTGGGACATGCCGACTGTTGAGGAAATCAGAAATTTATACTCATTTAGACGATGTACTGATAGACAAGTAGCAGATCCTCTAATTTGTTACGCTTGTGCGGGAAGACCTCAAGAAGGGCTGAAAATCGGCGACTTGGTTTCTGACATTCCTGAGTCGCTCCATGGATTTCAAGAGGAGTGGCTATGGGTCGGGGGAGATTGGCAGACTCCCAATTTTTCGAAACCCACAATTGATGGGATGTCAATCCCTATCAATATTAATTCTGCAATTTGTAAGTTTCTGTGTGACTCCTTTTTTACTAAGTTATTCTGACTGCTTGTTTTTGTACTAACAGGTCCACACTTTGTTATTTGCAGCCAAGAGCAAGGGATCAAAGCTTAGTTCAACTCTGAAGCAAAGGATTTCTGAGTTATTCAAATTAAAGAAAACTCAACGTAGCTTCAAGTTGATTTTGAAGAACACAAGACTGAGAGCTGTCGGTCTTTGTCCCGAAATTTCTGACAGTTCATTCCAACCAGGTAGTCCTGAGTATAATTTTCATCTTATTTGACGTCGGTTATTTTCGAGAACCGTTGTAACTCAGTTTTGTTCTTACTTTGCAGTTTATTATCCGCTCATTGGAGTTCTCGGTTTCAAGACCATCCAAGACGCAAAAGCTTTCCGACAAAAGAGTCCAAATCTAGATCTTAGAACTAAAGTCGGAAAGAGTAAAGAATTACGTCTGACAGGAATGGGTCGTAAGAAGTTGGTGAAGGCTTACTTAGAGAACCCTATTATGAATCCGCCGAAAACCGACGTTGGTGATGGTGCGACGTCGGCGGCTGCGATTGTGGTACCGCAACCGAATCCTCTGGCTATTGCAGCAGAAGGTCCGATGGCCGCTATTGCTACTGCCACCGCTACTGCGTCTGAAGTTGAGCCTGTTATTGAGGCTACTCCAGTTGAGAATCCACCTATCATTGACTTAGCCTCAGATGAGCCTGATGGTGGCCATGAAATTATTGTTGAGCATGAAGTGCCCGTGACTCGGTCACGAAAAAGACGTGCTGATGACGTTCCTGCTGCCGAGGAACGAATGAAGAAAAAACATGATGCCAGTGATCATGAGAAGAAAAAGAAGAAAGAACCACTTGTTGATCGGTCCTTCTTGCCGTTGGATGAGGAGAGATTTCTGAATTTTAAACAGCCTCGGGAATCAGTCGAGAAGTGGTTCTCGGCTTTCGAATCAGTTGAGATTCCTGAGATCTCAAGTTCGGTTGAACTGCCCAACCATGTGATTGATGCTGCTCGGGTCCCTATGATGGCGTGGGATCCGAGGTCCGAGATCGGTGTGTCATCATTGCCGAGTACATACAAGTTCAAGTATGCTAAAGCTTGCCTGGGTCGCGCACTCGTCAGTTTAATTATGGCCGAGGATGACTTCCGACTTAACGCGGCCCAAGTTGACGAGAAGAAGCACACTCTCGAACTCAGAGATGGAGCACTTGCATCTCTAAAAGAGGAAGCGGCAGTGAAAGAAAAGGAATTGCAGATCAAAATCACTGAGCAATCCGAGCAGCTTACAATCGCTCAGGGTGAGATCGAGGCCTTGAAAGTTGATAAGGCTAGTCTCGACAATGATGTCCTAAAGCTGACAAGTCAGATTATCACTTCCGAGCAGCGCGTCAAAACGCTTGAAGAACAACTCTCTCGGTGTGAGAGTCTTCTCCGGAAAGAACAAGAAGCTCACGAGGTAACTCGGAGAAGTCGGTCCGAAGTTGAAGATTTACTGAAGAAAGACCGAGATGCTCATCTGGCTAAACTCGGCAAATTGCAGGAAGAAAAAATTAAGTTTGCAGAGGAGAAGTATAATGATGGTCTTCGAGCAGGAAGAATTCTTGAGGCAGAGGCGAACCGACTCAAGTCTAAAGCCGACTCTGATTCTGAAGATGAAGACCGGGAATTTGAGATGAACACTTGTCTGAATCTGCGCTGGATGGTTGAGCGCTTTGATGACGGTTTGTGTGATATCGGGGTAATCCGCCAATTCCTCCTCCACAAAATTCAAAGTCATAACTTCAATCCCTCCATTGCAACAACTCATATTGAGGCCGACGAGGACGAGAAGAGTTTCTGTGAGGGTCTTCTTGCTTCCATTAAGGCTGAAACAAATTCTGAAGTTTCTGAATCGGGCCGAGAAAGGGAGGCTCGTCTACGCCGTGCCTTCGTTAATATGGTGCTCGAGGGTGAGAAGGAGAAGAAAACCGAGCTTGCCAACATCTATGTTAAGACTTTAACCGAAGTAAGCTTGGAGGAAGAACTGGAGAAGATGACTCCTGAGCAGCTTCGGAAGTCGGTCGTGGCTTTCCTTGAAAGAAAAGTAGCTGAGTTGTCGCAGAAGGATGATCAGTCGGTTGTGGCCAAGGTGTCTGAAGTCGGGGAAGAAGATACAATTTTGAACAAACATGTCCCCGTGACTCCTTCTGAACTTGAAAAGGCTGCTAAAATTGAAGAAGATCGGGTCTTCGACATCATTAGCCGTGTTATGTACGAACAAATTGTCAAGAATGATGTAGAAGAGGCAGCCAAAGATGGAG